AAATTGTGAAAGTATCGTCTACGTACCGCTTGTAGATCCTTGGTGTAACAGGTGCAGTAAGGAGGGATTTCTCCTCAAAGTCTTCCATGAATATATCGGCGACAATGGGAGATACAGGTGAGCCCATCGCAACACCATCTATTTGCTTGTAAAACTCTTCCTTCCACAATAGATAGCCAGATGTAAGGCAATGTCTTAGTATTACTGCATATTCTGCTGGGATGTTAGTCAAGACATCTCGTCTATGTTACGTCGAAGTTCAGCGCCGAAATTAAATCTTCCCAAAAATGAATTTAACGCGTTGAAAAACTTACGCAACAGAACAGAGCTTACGATTCTCCGCGCAGATAAAGGTATCTACCTATGAAAAGGAACCAACGGCTGTGTAAACGTTCAACTAAGAAACAGAAGGGAGGAATCGAGGTTTCTCTCGATCCGGCCTCCTATAACGCCTACGTTGTGTTCGGGAACAACGTATGTGATCTCCGCAACGGAGTAACACACAAGGGCGATAACCTCTTCCTTTTCAGCAAATAGGTTCAGACAGGGATTACGGGTCTTCCGAAGTCGTCCCGGTCCCAACGCCTTAATTCTTCGATGTGTCCTGTATTATTTTGAGGGAAGAATTCCTTGGGAATAAAACAGCAATTATCTTCAAACCGTTCCGTGAGAGAGTAATTACTTTTCCCTATCACTTCCCTACACTTTTTCTTTCTTCTTATTGACTGCTGGTCTGATTCCCGAAGTTTCTTCGAACTTTCCCGAAACTTCCCCGAAGGATCCCCGAACGAACTGCAACGTTGTTGTCCTCTGCAGGGCATAAATGCCGTGCAGGTCTCGGGCCTCGGGGTGTACCCCTTTACCCGGATGTTCCTCACGGCACACTACAATGTGCCGGTCCTGGGCGCCTTGATGTTAAAGGCGTTGCTTATAACGACTATTGTCGCAGTCGGTAAATTTATAATAAAGGGTGGTTATCTAAGAATTGTGTTTAAATAACACAATTTGTCAAAGTTGGCCTTTCTGCGGCATTGAGGGGTTTACTCGGACTCCCTAATCTATATAGGGAGGAGTTCTCTTGGATAAGGTCGCCCGTCCGGCGGCCTTGCATGCAACGGCGCGAAGCCGTTGAGGTGTTCATGTGGCCCGTTGTCGGCGCGGTCAAACATACCGCGCGCCAGCCGGACCACGAAATCATGTAGGCTCTCCATCTTGAGGTTGGCCGCTATGACGTCATTACGGACGTAGCGACCCGCACCGACTATGGTTCGCAATGACAAACTCTGCTGGGCCTGAAGTCGCCGCTTCTGATGATCGCTCAGGAGTGCATACCAGGCCGGAGCAGCGTATGTTAGCAGGGGTCTTATGTAAGTTTTATAGATGGTTATCTTCGACTTTGTCGGTAACTTGGATGTCAGGACAGGACGTAGCATTGCCCGCGCACATCGAGCTTTGCGTATAGCAGAGTCAACGTGCGCAGTCATACGCAGCATCCTGTCAATCCGACATCCAAGGTAGGTCACGGCCTTCTCATATGCGATCTCCTGGCCTCCGAGGGTTAGCGGTGGTGGTAGATTTCTATAGCGGCGAGTGAGTAGAGCGGTCGTCTTGCTAACATTGACGGCCATCCTCCACTCACCCAACCATGGTGGCAGCAGGTCCAACAGACGTTGCATCCTGGCAGCTGCTATGTGGGCTCTTCTGGACGACGTGAAGTATGCGCTGTCATCCGCAAACAGTGCTAGTTCGACGTCTCCTCCCATTCTTGCAAGTGCACTAAACGAATTGCAAGAAAACCCGTTTACTGAGCTACCCCAGAGCTATACGCGAAAGTGAGCCGCGCCATTCGCGCGCGTGCGCAACTCAATTACATGAATTTGTTCTATCACTCTCTCACGGTTTACTTAATAACTTTATTTGCATAAGTCATACATTAACACAATTTACTTGTATAGATAGCGCAAAAAATATCTATACTACGATATACATTACATATTCATATCACAAAGAACCTTTTATTTATTTAACAAAATATGCCTATTTTACTCACACGTTCGAAGTTGAAATTTCTTAAATATTTAACATAGAAAGTTAAAACAATGTTTTCCACTTGAAATTATACATATCTTAACTAATACAATAGTTTAATTTACATTTTATCCATAACTATTAAAACACTTTTAAATTTCTTATACAAAACTATCATTATTTCACTTATTCACAGGAATTTTCACATAAAATAACAGAATTCACCTTTTTTACACGTACAATCAATCTGAAATGTTTCACAAGTCATTTTTACATAAATTGCTGAAATTACAAATATTTAAATGTTTACATATTTGGCCTCCTAAGTACGTGGCTAGCGTGCGTCCGTGAACTCACACTATTTGAACAACTAACTTTGCACGGCTATCGACTATCAGAAAAAATGGAAAGTCTAATATACACCAATATCAACAATACTAAGGTGAACCAACGCTTTTACACAATTCTCAAACTGTAGGAAACTATTTCTAATCAGATTCTTATCAGTTATCATATCTCTTATCAGATAGCAATATAAGTGAATGTTTTCATAAATCAATCATAGCAAATAGGCATTTGTTTTCATACAAAACATATCAAACCCATATAAGACAACACTTATGCTATTAATTTCCATTAATTCTATTTACTCACAAAGTGATCATCTCGACCGGGAATAAATCCGATCTCTAACTTTATTTTAATATTCCTTTAAATTTACATTATTGGAAAGATAATTTCAACCGGGGAACAAATCCGGTAACATAATTTATATCTTAAAAATTCCCTATATGAATTTATTAAGAGATATTACTAAGAAAACAATAAACTATTCCGGCCTGGGAGTCGAACCCAAGACCTTCATATCATTAATTCGATATTTCTTTAAGATTCAACTAAGCATTTTCTTATCGGAATATTGTTACTTGATAATTTGCTTTTTAGAAGCTATTCGTAATCGGTTAACTTAAAAAATTGAAATATTCTTATAGGCGCGTCGCCAACAACCTAGTTACATTTCAGATGCAGTCTTTAATATGTAGGCATGTGAATAGTGACTAAATATCAAAACTGACCATAGTTTCATTGTTAACGAAATGTAGGTCTTTCATCTAACTAACTAAATAGTATGAATCCTTTTTGTATGGGAATAGAGTGAATGGGGCACTACACTCTATTGTGAAGAACCAGAATGTATCAAAATAGGCACGTATGGTTATTCATAATGCTGTGTTAGTCCCTACTATAATGTATAGTAGTGAAAGCCGGGTGTGGCAGAAGAAGCACGAAAGTAGAATAAATGCTGTAGAAATGCGGTCTTTAAGGAGTATGCTAGGGTTGAATCTGAATGACAGGGTGAGAAATTGCATGATAAGAGATAAATGTGGTATGCAAGATGATGTTGTGACCAGGATTATGAAAGGAATGCTTCGGTGGTTTGGTCATGTAGAAAGAATGAATGAGGAAAGAGTGACAAAACAAATTTATATGGCAGATGTGAACGGCAGAGTCGAGAAAGGACGCCCTAGAAAAAAGTTTATCGACCAAATTGGCGATATTTTGAAAATGGGCCACGTTAAAAGTACCTTTAACCGACGAGCATGTATGCGTAGATATATGGATGTAAAGGAGGCGAAAGAGGTATGTCAGGATCGTGTCGAATGGAAGTCCGTGGTCTCTGCCTACCCCTCTGGGTGACAGGCGTGAGTGTTTATGCTTATTATGCCTTTTTGTATTATCTGGTGTGTCTTCTCAGTGGCACCAGTATTTTGTCAAGTGTTGAGCTAACGTAGATTTGGCACATGATGGTGTTATCAAATTCACGTCGATATTTAATTTTTCAGAGTATTTCCTTATTAAATCGCTAGTTTTTTAAGCGTATTAGTTGTAGGGTCTTTTTAGACTATTTAGAGTATGTTTTGACAGATTATCGAGCGTGCATTGTTTCTTGTTCGCGTCTGTGGTCAACGGTTGCATTCCGTTCCCACGTTGACATTAATATTTGGTATTTGATTTGATCGTTATTTGTTTATTTTTTATTAAACATATTTAGATATTTGTTAAAGATCAATGAGTTGTTAAAGATAATATATAAGAGCTTCATCAGGCATGATACGTATCATGAAATGAATAATGGTGAAATATTTTCAATCCCAGGGCCCTTTGTTACATCAAAATTGACATTTTTTTTATAAATTTGCTTAAGGGACAACTATAGAGTTGGAAACTTTCGATTCCTCCCCCCACTGATGTACTAAATATATTTTGGTCAATATTTATGTCACAGGAGAAGACAAGGTTGATAGTTGTAGAGAAGAAGTAAGATTTCAAAGCCGTTGCTTATGTCATTACTGTTTTGTCTCACCGTATTACCGCACCGCACCATAATTAACCGAAGCACCAATTTTGAGAGTAACGTCATGGATCCTGTCCTGAGATACATAGTTAGTGAGTCAGAAGAGTTTATTTAAATTTAAAATTATTTGGACGTTGTTTAGGTGAGAAATTTTGTGAAAAAGTTAAACATCTGTGTACTGTGAACCTTATATAGTATGGATACATTAGAGTGTTTAGTGATTAGTGAATAAATAGTAAAAAAACAACATTTACATGTTAAAAACATTTTATTTCTAAATGTCATCGAATAAAATTTTATAATATAATACCGTGTAATACTGATCAACACAGCTCCATCTAACGCCTCCGTTGTGTAGTAATAAATCAACGCATAATTTAGCTTTATCAACTATTAAAACTCATTGATCATGGCAGTTAAGTGCAGTGCGTGCGGTAAATACATGTCTTCGCAAGATGGCGCTAATGTTAAATGTACAAAGTGCACTAAATAGCTACATCTTGCTTGTGTAGGCATCGCAGTAGGCGCTTCGCTAATGCCGTCCTGGGCTTGCCCTGAATGCAAGTTGGAAGAAAAACGTTGCAACAAGGACACAACGCCAGTAAAACCCTCAACAATGACTGTTGCTAATTCGAGTGAGGTTTCAAGCCTCGGGGAGGAATTGCAATGTTTCCGAGAAGAAATGCAACAAACCCGCGAAGAATTTCGGGCATTCAGAGAAGAACTTCGGAACATAAGAACACTTGTCAGCAAATGCGATGCTCGTTTACATAAGCTCGAGAACACGGTCCAAACTATCCTGGAATCACAAGTACAATATGGCTCTCAAGGATTCAAAAGTGAAATCCTTAAACTCGAGTCGACCGTCAATCTGCTGCAAGTCGACTTAAACGATAGGGACCAGGAGTTGCTTGCAAATGACTTCGAATTAAGTGGCATTCCAGAGGAGAGTGGGGAGAACCGAACACACTTGGTTCTAACAGTTGCAACCAAGCTTGATATTCATTTGGAGGAAGGGGAACTGGTCAATTGTATGCGAGTGGGGGGCGCTCGCCAGGATACCACGTCTCGTCCGCGGCCCATCGTTGTGCGGCTGGCGCGGCGCGACGTGCGTGATGACGTGCTGCGCGCTGCGCACGTCCGCCGGTCTCTAACAACCGAGGCTCTAGGTCTTAAGTCCGCGCCCTGCAATATCTATATAAACGAACGACTTACTTGTTTCGCATGGCACGCGAGACATGCCGCAAGCAGGAATGGCGTATGTTTGGACGAAGGGAGGCGAATTTTTGCACGTCGGAAAGCAGGAGCTCCAATAAATCGCATTCGCTTCAACGCGGATATTGCATAGGTTTTTGGATCCGAATTTGTTCGATCACCATAACTGTCTCTCAGTTTACTTACAAAAAAGAATTAGTGTTTTTAATTTCTTTATTTAATTTTGTAACTGTTTACGATAGTCAAGTGTTTTGTGGGTACTCGTATATATCCATAGTTATTAATAAGATTTATTTACAACTTCGAAATAATACGAAATCTGATCTAAAAAAATATATAGTTGGGCAAAGTTATCGTAATAAGCTATTTATATTTCCATTTACAGTTATAAAATATTTGCAACCCATATATATCATTTGTTTTGGCTCTTGAATTTTATTAGTGCATCATTTGTTCTTAACTGTTTGCCAAACAAAGTAAATGTCTTTTTACAATATTCAGACTTTATAAAGCTTGACGGTAACTGTTGTTGTTATTAAGTGTATAGTAGGACAATGTATACAGGGCCAATACGTATGTATATTTATGTTACTTCCTTTATAAGCTTTATAGGCATTAGTTATTTAAATGTAAGAAAATATGTATATCCTCTAATTCCTACCCGTTATAATTATTTGCTAAATACAGTTAACATTCTTATAATATCACAAACTTATAACAACACAAACAGAGTAATGAAACAAGCTCAGTGTGGCAAAAATTACTGTGAGTATTACTCTGATATTTATTGGTCAAAGATTTCAATTGTGAATATTCCTTTATATCATACAACATGATAAGTAATCTTAAGTTAGGGCTTCTAAATATGGGTTCATTAGGAACAGGCCATGAAAAACTAGTAGTAGCTATAGATCGCCACGCTCGATTATTTAATGGCGATTAACTTGGTTGTGTGAGGGTGAGGAAGCGCGCGCGCCCGCGGTGCCAGGATAAGGATACCGATTACGTCACATTCCCCGACCAACCAATGTGCGCTCGCGAGCTGGCGGAGTTGGCTTCTACATACGGCAGGGTCTAGCTGTTCGAAAGTTGCCTCGTCCTTCGAATCCGCTTGTAGAACAAATGTGGCTTGCTCTAACTATTAACGGTACTAAGATCGCAATTGTTACTGCCTATAGACCACCATGGTTAAATGTAGACACATTTTTCGATGTTTTGTTTGAAACTATCGGGACTCTTGCATGGTGCAATTATATAATATTGTTAGGGGACTTTAATATAAATGTATTGAACACCGCGGATAATAAATATAAAAAACTTAGAGAATTCTCACAGTGCTACAAACTGAGCCAATGTGTAACTGAACCGGCTCATTTCACCGATCATAGTCAAGCTATAATAGATATAGTTTGTTCAGATATCCAGCAATACGATATTTTAGTTAACCACATACCCGATCTCAGTAGCCATATATTTATTTGTTGTGAAATTAATTTTAAAAAGCCCAAACAAAAACCACTTTTAATATCACGCAGAGACTTACATTCCATTGATGTCGAACAGTTTGAATTAGATCTAAAGTTGATGAACTGGGAAACCATCAATACCCTGAATGACGTTAATGATATGGTATCTCTTTTTAACACAATGATGTTAACCATATTTGATATTCATGCGCCTCTTCGCACAAAAACTGTAAGACATTTACAATATCCCTGGATCATTTATAATATAAAAAATTATGAAACTCCGGGATGAAGCTGGATTAATAACACGTAAATCTGGTTCAGAGATACATAAGAACTATTATAAGGAACTAAAAAAATACTGTACTGAGGCGCTTCGCAAATAAAAACAGGCATACTATGAATACTACATCAACAATACTAAAGCCATATGGTCAAACATAAAACAATAAGGTTAGAAAGTAAACCAGAACTACCGTGTCATATTTTTAATGATCCCAATTTAATTAATACCAGCTTTTTAAATGTTCCTGGACATGATCAAATACTTACTTCTAACATCAGAATATTGCCCTGTGTGTCATATATTTTAGAGAAGGTTGTGGCCGAGCAGCTAAGAAAATATTTAGAAACAAATGCAATACTCCCTAGTTTACAATCGGGTTTTAGGCAACATTATAGTACACTAATGCTCTGATTAAAGTAATCGATCATCGATTACTTTTCATTCAGACCAAGACTCAGGAAAAAGCACAATATTAGTTCCACAAGACTTTTCTAGAGCATTTGACTGCTTAAATGTACCTTTACTTTTGTCAAAATTGCACTATTATGGTTTCGACGTAACTGCGGTGAAATGGTTTGAGAGCTACTTTAGGTATCGCGCACATCGAGCAGAGATTTCTGACCATAGAGGGTTGCTGCTAGTCTCCGATTTCAAGGTTGTGAAACAAGGTGTACCTTAAGGCTCAATTTTAGGACAACTTTTGTTAGCTTTGTACTGTGCAGATATGGTAAATCACATCAAACATTGTAAATATCATATGTACGCTGATGACACACAGATTTACATATCATGTAAACCTGAGGAAACTCAATCAGCAATAAACAAATTAAACGAAGATTTAGAAGGCATTGCTGATTGGTCAAAATCATTGGTTTCATGTCATCATAAAAGGGGAACAAATTGAACGTGTGACTGAAACTCGCAATTTAGGTCTGCTTGTGGATGATCGTTTGCGCTTCAAGAATCACATACTTAATACTGCTAGAAATTGCTTCTACAGACTTAAAGTCCTGTGTCAAATTAGAAATTTCCTGAATACAGTTATTCAAATCAGGCTCTGTGACTCATTAATTCTTTCTAAATTTAATTACATGGATGTAGTTTATGGTCCTCGTCTCTTAATTCGTAGTCAAAAACTCATTCAGCGAGTTCAGAACGCATGTGCAAGATTTTGCTTCGGGATACCGCCACGCACTCACGTTACGCCGTACATCAACGGAGGCAACATTTTAAAAATGAAATATCGTCATCACTTTCATTTGGCAACACTACTGTTTGGTATAATTAAATATAATATGCCACCTTATCTCTTCCAAAAGTTGGTGTGGTCGCGCGACGTAAATTAAAAAATAACTCGTGCGTCGATTTATTCTCTCGCCGTGCCATTCCATCGCACCGCTGCTTTTCGTGGGAGCTTTAGGTACGCTGTTTCAAAGTGTTGGAACGACCTGCCGCCACCGCTTCGTAGCCTGAAAACAATTAAAACATTTAAAGTAAAATATAAACACTATCTAACATTAACTCAGAAGAACATAGGCTAAAGCGTACTACTCACCAAAATGGGTACTGGCACATAGCACAGGCGGTCAAGGTCACAACTAATAAAGTGAAGTGATGATAATATAACCTTAAATTGGATACTGTTCGGATAGGTCCAATGACTGCAGGCTAAAAAAAAGTGTAATTTAGTGTCGTCAATTAATAACTGATGTAATTTATGTATAAGTTTTAGAAGTAAGTATTAAAAATATAATTTAAATATATATTAATATAAGAAAACGAATACAACTTAATAATAATTTTTTGTAATAATATAACATATTCATTATTAACGTTAATAACACACAGGTAACACAAATTTTTTGAAAATAAAAATAAAGTGCATGTATAATAAGCACATGTACATACCTTCGGTTTGAAATCAACAATTTCAGCATAGTTAGACAGATTGGTTTTAAAATATTATTAGGTGTCGCACGCGCACGTCCGTGCGCTACTATCCGTTCGGGCCCACTGAAAACCAGCGCTGTTGCTCCGGCGTATACATACTCGTACAATATGAGAAACGATTTTTTTTGTCTTTCTATTATTTTTTTAATTATAATCTATAAGTTTACATACTTTTAAATTGATTTATCCTTTTTGTTTTTGTTTGTTATAATGTTTATAAATGATGTGTCCATAAATGTTAAAATTTAAGTGCGTACTGATGTTTGTGGCGTGCCGTAATAAATCTTTCTTTCTTTCTTTCTAATTATTAAATATTAAATATACACATTATATATTATTTAGTAATAATTTATTAATTTGAAGAAAAACTAATAAATTATTTATATATTAACCGTAAAAATATATACAATGTATATATTTTTATGTGGCGTGCCGTAATAAATCTTTCTTTCTTTCTTTCTAATTATTAAATATTAAATATACATATTATATATTATTTAGTAATAATTTATTAGTTTTAAGAAAAACTAATAAATTATTTATATATTAACCGTAAAAATATATACAATGTATATATTTTTACGGTTAAGTTGTAGGTTTTGGTAGAAAAATAGTATACTTTTTGTTAGTGATATTCAGATCTATATATATCTGCATCCATCGACTTCCTCCATGTCTTACCAGGTCGTTACTTCATCTAGTGAAAGGTTACCTTACACTTCAGCTATTGGTACGAGGCTGCCACTCAATAAATTTTATCCCCGTCTGTTATTGATTCTTAGAGCTATATGGACCATAGCCACTTCAGCTTACTAATCTGTTTGACTATGTCGGCCACTCTGATTTTACTGCGGATATCCTCAGTTCTAAGTTCATCATGCAGAGAAACTCAGAGCACAGCCTTCTCCATAGCTCGCTGAACTGACTTTAAGTTTGCACAAACGGCCAGCAGTGAAGGACTATGTCTCTGATCCATAAGTCGTTACTGCTAACACGCACAGGTTGTACAATCTAGTTTTGAGCTTTTGAGGTATCTCTAACGAGAAGATGTGTCGTAATCTCCCAGTCGCTTCCCAGTCGAGATGAATCCGTCTGTTGATCTCTCGGTCGGAGTTGGACTTGCCTAGTCAGACTACTTGTCCCAGGTAAACATACTCGTCAACAATTTCAAGCTTAGTGCTCCCCACAACGACCGGCATAGGTGTGACATGGACATTACACTACTGAGGTCATTGAGCATAGTGCTTAGGTTATCCAGCGATTCTGCTATAAGAACTATATCGATGGAAAATCGAAGGTGAGTGATGTACTGGCCATTAACGTTAATACTGTATACTTTTACAGTTCAGTAGCTTGAAAACATCTTCCAACGCTGCGGTGAAGAGTTTCGGTGATATTACATCACCCTATCTTACACCTCTATGCAGGTGG